AGTAGAAGAGCCGATGTGACATCTTTCAACTCAATAGTAGTCTTACCATGCAGGATGGTTGTTGCCAAATTATCGTACGAAGATGACAACAAGTTCAATAGCAAGATGACTTTATCTTCTTCCTCGATTTTCACTCCGAGGTTGGCAAGCTGTGTGATTAGTCCGTTAAACACATTTAAATGTGACAAAAAATTCGTACCTTCACCCATGTGTAGGGCGTATAACTGCTTCTTCAGGTACAATTTATTTGTCAACGTTTTGGACATGTATAGGCTTTCCAACCTTGTCCAAATTCCACGTGCAGTGTTTTCATCAATGATGTTATTTACCACATCATCTGATAAGTGCAACCTGATTGCACTAGCAGCTCTTTCATCCAAGTCAGCCCAATCCTCAGCTTTCATTGTATCATGCTTTTTGGCATCAGCATCTAGTACCTTGTGTAATCCTTGTTGGATGAGCAGATCCCTCATCCTTCTTTGCAATGTTGAGAAACCGTTATCTCCGTTGAATTTTGCTACTTCGTACTTTACTCCGAGCATTTTTATTTTTCACCGAGTATAGTACTACCGACAGTGAATAGTATTTCAGTGAACGAGCAGAACCTGACTCTAATACCAGTTGTTGGGAATAAACCCCCACAGAAATAATATTCACGGTAATAAAAGCGGTTAATAATGTAGCACCGAGATATGGTAATTAACAAGAATAAAAGAGTAAAATCGATACTAAGATTTTTACGTGGAAAAACCCTTTTAATAAGGGAAAAAACCACGGCCCCGAGAGGAGCAACTGATATCACTATAGTGAGGAATTTTACACATTGTAGGTCCGAGTAAAATACTCCAAAGACCATTACAACACTCAAAAGAAATAACCCTCTTTTGATATTCCCACCTCACTACAATATCACTCACTCTCTATTTTTCTCACAAACTATTTTCTTATACCTTGTTTGTGAAACCTCACTCTTTCTTCCTCTCTTTGTTGGTGTAATTCAAATGGCTCAGAAGCTCTCTATTTATAGAGATTCTAGAGCCCTACAAATGTCATCAGTGACATCAAAAGAAATGAATTTTTTTTTTCAAAGGATGACTTTTAAGCAATTCAAAAACAACGGTGGCTGTCATTTTAGAAAAAAGAAGACAAAGGAAGAAAGTTGTCTTCCTTAATTTATGTGCTGGACCCCACACTTGTAAGTTCATATTTTCTTCATCCAAGATAAATATATGAAGCAACACTAAGAATAGTTATTACCGTAATAGCTTAGATTTCACCAGTGCACATGTGCAGCGCGCCACAATGATGAGTCCTGCTCATACCAGCCTTAGTTCGTACTCACCAGCCATTGTTTTGTACCTCACCCATGGAAGAGCTTGATATCCGCTTTTTTCAATAATTTTGAGATAACGAACCTGCTCAAAACCAAAACTCTTACATTTATATAGTAGTTGGTATAATAATTGCAATGGTATAAGAAAACTCTATTAGTATATGATTTAAGAAGGACCTTCGACATACCAACAAAAATTCTAATCTAGTCANGTGCAGTGGTGTAGGAAAGCTCTATTAGTATTATGATTTAAAAAGGACCTCCGACATACCAACAAAAATTCTAATCTAGTCATATGCTGAATGGTCTTCAAAACCGATCATGATACAAAGGGTTTGGTTTCTTGAAACATTGTTTTCCATCATTTGCCAAGTCGAATATCTTGTTAACAGTTTAATATCTTTATCTACATGATGCCCTCATTGAATATAAAGATATTGTTTTTTGAATCTCTTGAGCAGCTTAGAGGCAGCCTTAACATGGATATGGCTTTGTCTAAGACCTGAACACAATTGGAACACAATATAAAATCTTGTTATTCTAGTATTTTATAATATACGGATGCTTTTCTGATTTGGCAGTTGAGGTCAGATCCAAACACAGGGATAAAGCAAATAAATCCTCTAGGGTGAATCATGAAACCCTAATTCAGGGCACAAGATCAAGGGGGAAAATGGAGCTTTAGCACCAGAATGTTAAGATAAAATTACCTGAATTCCTGAGACAGTAAAATATGGTATCTCAAACTTAACACGGATTGGAGCTTTTCTATCAGGAGGTGTATCTTCAGATATTACACTTGGAAGTCTAAACTCTGCCCTCAGCATATACTCCTGTTCATTAGTTAAGACTGATAAAGCAGTAGAAGATCTTCTCACAATCAATGGATAAAATACAGATGCATCAGTTGCTCAATCCCTACCTTATTACCAGGAAATGACTTGATTTTCCATACCACAGCATCTCTCTCAGGAGCATATGTAGCATATCCCATTGAAGTTCGTATATTGGGATTCATCGCATCAGATGGCACAGGCAACTCAATTTCCACATTCATAGCAGTGCTGCCACATGAAGTAGCTAGTTCAGTTCAAAGATTTCCACAACATCAATTTGCAGTGATAAAAGAATGACATCTTCATGTGTAGTTCTAGATGGCTGGTACGGTTTTTTATTTGCACAGATTTATTCACCAACTTGATAGAACTTAGAACTTGTCTAACGGAATGGATAGCTGGAATATAAATGAAGAGAGGAAACATTTGAAAAGATGTATTCTACAAGTTAAAATTTCCTATATGTGAGAAAAGAGAAAAATGCTACCTACGCTCCTTAAACTGGCTTCTGGCTTTGACAGACATCTCAACCCGGCTTCTTGAATGCCTTTCAACTTGAGCTTCTACCCAAATCAGTGGCTTCACCTGAATGCGTTACTAGTAATTTTATGCACTTTTCAGTTGCCTCAACTAATAAAAGAGGAACAATCATAGGCACGCTACAAAGAAAACATAGTAACAGAGAACATGAGTTAAACCTGAGTACTGAGTCTATATGTCATCAGATCAAATGAGCCATCAGGAGGTATAAAAGATATTGTGCGATCATTTTCAAAACGAGCCAAACGCACACACCTGAATATACGCACAAGTGGTTTACACCGAAGGAGTTTATTAGTCAAGAGCGAAGAAGCTTTTCTGGTGTACAGTAAGCTTGGCTCAAGAGGGTGGTGCGAGCAATTCATTTGCATAATTTTACAGCATATTGAGGAAGTAGTCACTTAGTAGACCAATAATTCAATTTTTACTAGAAAATGCTTACTGATGAAATTTGATATCATCCAAATCAATGGATTTGCCTTTGGTAGGCCGACCTTGAGCCTCCAATATTAATCTGTCATTAAGCCCAAGCTTGCACTCAGGCATGCCACTGCCATCGATAAAATACAATGTTTTATCAAAGCAAAAACAGATCATTGTAAGAGTATACATATCTTTTTGGCTTTCAGTAAGTAAATTTCCTGTATAAAACCATGGGGAACAAAAATAGTTTGCAGTAAGCTTCCTTAGTTGTGGCTAAGATAGATACAAAAGCATGAACTACATTACCGGTGTAAAGAGATTATAAGAAGAAAAACTTGAAGCTTATGCACCTATTTTCTAACAGCTTATCAGGTGAAGTTTCATGTAGTTGGTTACTTCTTTAATTATGCTTACCGTTCATTTCCTTCTCTTAATGAAAAATTGTAAATCTTTGATGAAGAATCCATTTCACTGAACATTGTGATATAGATCAAGTTATTTATTTCAGTCATATCTGAATAGTGAGACTAAAGCACCAACGTCAGATATCACTGGAGCCCTTCAACCATTGTAAACACTAAAATTGCAAATGTTGACGATACACTTATTTTGGCTTTTTGAAGGATATCCGCAAAATTAATACGACAAAAAATCAAAACTATGTCATGGGGACCATTCATTAGATCAAAAGCTTAACAGTGTGAGAGATCTTTTACAAGATCTGCGACCTGGTTGATCCAATCAAAGCAATATACGAAAAGGAATTCAAAAATGACAGTTTTTTCATTCTAGATACGTAGTTTATTATACTGGAAGGATTAATGTTCGTGTTTAAATAAAATCAAGGTATAAGGCAATGAGCAGAGCCTGTACGGTGATCAACAAGGAAGTGTAGAGATGAAATGAGATCAACTAGGACTACTCTCATCTGTGATTCGCCTGCTAAGTAGAGAAACAGAACAGAGAAACAAGTCTTAGGTATTTAAAAATAGCATCGTTGATAAACCAAGTACCTCAAATAAGCTCTCATTTTTAACGCCCCGTTAACTTCAGAACGTATTGACTGGCCGTTGCTGTTGACAAGGAGATTAACATGTTCGACCACATCCAAATATACCTGATTGAAGACAAAGAAAGTTTGATAGTTAAGCCAGAAGCTAAGCTAATAAGAGATGCATAGGGAACAAAAGGAAATAAAAAGGTCATACTTCATTATTCTTATAAAATACCCCCTCACTGCGCCACGAAACTGCATTTGTCACGGCCATTGGAGGGTGCTGGGTGACTTCCATTCTGTATGCATCCGTCTTGATAAACTCACTAAGAATCTTAGCTTCCGTATATTGAGGGTAACCAAAGTCCATCATTTCATCAAGCAATTCATACTGACATATTATCATTGAATGAAATCCATAAGTTATCTGCCATAATCTAAAACCTTATATTTTTAAAAGCTGTTCCTTAAACTCACCACAACGACAAAGTTATCTCGTAGAGACTCCTCTTCCAGTTCTTCAAAATAGTGCTTAAAGACCTCCAGAAGAAAATGCAGACAGTAAGAAAGCCCCTCACTTCAATCACTCATTAAACTAATTGGTTGGATCACTTACATCAACTACACGATGTAGAAAGAAAAGGAGGCTAGCAGCATTAGAATTCTGCCTCGATGCTGCCATCAGGTAAATGTTGTTGTGTTGTATAAACATGTAATTCACGCCATTTTCATAGCATACTGGTCCATGAGATTCTACGTCACCCTAATGTAAGCAGATTGAACAAAATAGCACAGTCCATTCACTTCCCCTTCTTGAAAAAGAATTAGTATGGAATTGGATTCCATTAGTAAACCAAAAATATGAAGCAGTCAATGTCACAAGAACAAATTCTTCGCTAATAAAACATGTCCTAAGATTTCCCCCTTTCTTTGTGCAAGGAGATTATTCTTCATTTGTACCTTCCCCGATAAAGCCATAAACTATGCGAACTACAGTTTCAGAGATCTCAATTTGACTCAAAGTCTCACTACTCACCCTGATGTCTATTATATATGTTGTGCATCATAACCACTTTATTCTCAGCTATTGGACCACAAAATCCCATCCTCATATGAATCACATTATTTGTCATTTCTTTTACCAAATCCATGTTCCGGCAACAGTAAAAGGGAAGAACTAATGATTAAGACAAACATATAAAAGACTTCTCATATACTTCATCAACTTATTGTACCTAAGAAACCAAGACGTATTATGCTTAAAGGAAGAGTAAGCTAATTCAATAAGAAGACAAAAGGAAAAACCAAAGCAAAGGGGGAAAAAGAAAAAGAAACAGTATGTAGTAAAATCACTCATTGGAGTCAGTTATATAACGACACAATGTGAACCAGTATTTAAAATTCCTGACACTCGATGGATTTCCAAAATAAAACAAGTTAATCTCAATTGAGACAATCTAATATTTAAAACTCGTCATCCCAGAATTAAGCTAATTACGACTAGTATATACTAATATCTCAATCATATCCTTAGCAATTCAGAAGTACTACACCAAATGCGGAAAATTCATAAAATTGAATCAGCTAGCTAGTAAGAATAGAGAGAAAAACAAACTGGAAAAGCACAATGTATACAATTGGAACAATAAAATTGAAACGATTGACATGATCATGCACAACGTAATCATATACCTCTTTCTCGAGGAGCTTAGAAAAGAATTTCTCGACTTGTTGAGCAGAAACATCGCCTCTATAGTCACGACTTATAAGGCATCTACCTTTCATATCAAGAAGAAACAGCGCCGAGGTGGCACCCGCCATTGATCTCCACCTAAAATATTACTACAGATATAAGTAATATTTGTACACAAAATTAGAATCATTAATTTACCTGTGGGTTAATTGTTCCCCAGATGTGTGAGAATGAAAGCATAGAGATCTCGTAATGCTGTTTCATACGTCTAACGACTAACCAGGTTTTGAGATGTAACCGGGCGCTAACGCACGTGTTTTAGACAAAGCCTATTGCCAAAGTCAGCTTATTTCAACAAGTATTTCTTATTTAAAAAAAAAAAAAGGTATTTTGGAGAATAGTAGTTCATGTTGGGCTAAATTATTTAAGAATTATTTTAGTTAGTAGTTTGTTTTTGGCAATAATTTTTAAAATAGGATTGTGAGGTGTCAAATTACGTAAAAAACACATCCATATAAGTTGACATATTTATCATTTGGCAAGGTGGATGACGAAAATTGGTTATTTACTTATTTTTGTTAATAAATTAATGCTGTAATTTCATATGATATGAGTATCATTTCAGAGATTTTTTTTAATAAATGGATAATTAAGCCTGCATATTATAATTTGTAATCTAGAAAACGATTGAGAATTTAGTTTATTTATGAAATAACATGTGTGGTTTCGTCTTGAAAGATTTAGTATATTTTGCTTTGAAACAATTGTTATTGAAGAAACACTTTTGATTATTTTTTATTTAAAAAAAAAACATTTGTTCATCAAAAAGAAAGAAACAATTTCTTTTTTCTCTTCTTCTAAACAAACAGTTCTTAATTTAGGTAGGATAATATGTAAACTATTTTCTTATGTGTATGTGGCCCAATAAGATTAGACCCATAATTAATATTTAATTAATGAGCAAATCTCATCCGTCCGATCGGTTACTTGATGGACGTACCGGATTAAGTGAGAACCTCTATAAATTGGTCCTCTCCCCACCCATTAGGGTTACCGGATTTTACTTTCTTTCTTCCATCATTAAAAGGCGACGGTAACATAAAGTTAGGGCAAGGGGCGAGAAACCAGTTTTTGAATTAACGCTTCACTTCAAGATAATGGATTCCGCTTCAGGTATGTTTTCTATGGCAATTATATGTAAGATTATCATGTTCAAGATCCTGGTATGAATTAAAGTTTATGCTTACATGTGGTATCATGAGCCTGGAATTTGAACTGATAATCTTCGCGGATGAATGCCTAGATGACTTATGCTTCGACGTGATTACATCTTTATTTGAATATGATTACAGTAGTAATCTAATGTTACATTTTGGAGGCTTAGATTTGTCTGATAAATGCCGTTTTGGATTCTGCCAAAATAAGAGACAATATTATGTTATTGTGTTTAAAGCATCTACACTAAAATAATTTTATAATGGAATCATGTGCAATTAAAATAAAGTAACGTTTAAGGAATTAAGGGATATTGGTGATAAAGCCATAGAGATGGCGTTCTTAGAAAGTTAACGTCGACGGCCTCCACTGTCTAATATTTTTGGCTATATATATTTGATGCTCTCTTAGGGTTACTAATTTTATGGTTTAGTTTTTAAAACAAATAAGTAACTATATCATCTACTTGAGCCAGAACATGCCAAATATGAAGATTAGGCTAATTACTTGAGTATGTAGGACCACTAATTTACAGATTTTGCATATATTGCAGTAACAGTATGTAAACACCACGTATTGATTGTTATTTGGTTCTTATACTGTGAAACAATTAATGTATGTGCTTAAATTTGTATAGTTTGTTAGTCGCTAAAGTGACCAAACTAGTATGTTTAAAAATATGCATACATAAAAATTATAGTTTATCCATGAAATTAATGAAATGCCTATAATATAAAAATAGTGGATAAATTAATTTTCACTATTGCTAGAACTTAAGGATTTACCCAAAGGTGCATCAATTATTCTATGAATAGTGAATATGATAAGGTAAATTAATATTCTTAGTCAAATATATATTGTCTGTCCAAAGATGACATATATATTTGGTTAAAAATATTTAATTACCTATTAAGACTAAATGGCATTTAAATTATGATAGTGTGTCGTAGTATCTACCCAAAGGAGAATTGCGATATGCTTTAACTGTTTTGTTGAATCCATATTGATTTGTGAGCATGTATTATCTATTTTGCAGCTATTCCTTTTCATTCGCTTGCTTCGTCTGTTACTGTGTTCAACGGATTGAACTTCTCTGAATGGCGTGAACAAGTCCAGTTCCACTTAGGTGTGATGGATCTTGACTTGGCTCTGCTGAATGATAAGCCCGCTGCCATTACTGATTCGAGCAGTGCGGATGAGAAGTCTTTCCATAAAGCATGGGAACGCTCTAACAGGCTAAGCCTTATGTTTATGCGAATGAATATTGCCAACAACATTAAGAGTATTATTCCACAAACAGAAAGTGCCAGAGAATACCTGACGCTTGTGGAAGAACGTTTTCGTTCTGCAGATAAGTCTCTCGATGGTACACTAATGGCTGAACTCACGACCATGAAGTTTGATGGGTCGCGTAGTATGCAAAACCATATCATCGAGATGACTAACATTGCAGCAAGACTTCAGACCTTGGGGATGAAAGTGGATGACTCCTTCTTGGTTCAGTTTATTCTGAACTCGTTACCTCCTGAGTATGGGCCTTTTCAAATTAACTATAACACTATTAAGGATAAGTGGAATGTTAGTGAATTGTCCAGAATGCTTACTCAGGAGGAGTCGAGACTTAAGAAACAAGGGAATCATTCAATTAACCTCATGGGTCAAGGAGCTGGTAAAGGACTTAANTATGTACCTTCAGTTTCTAGGAATTTGATTTCTCTTTCAAGACTTGATGTTTCTGGATTTGATTTAAAGTTTGGAAATGGATGTTTCAATTTATATAAGAATGCTATTTTTTATGGTTCTGGCTTTCTCAGTGATGGTTTATATAAATTGAAACTCGATATTGCTTTTTCTGAATCCCTTCTTACTGTTCAACATAATGTTGGAATGAAACGTAGTTCACTAGATGAAAGTTCTGCTTACTTGTGACATAGATGTTTAGGTCATATATCCAAAGAAAGGTTAGAAAGATTAGTAAAAAATGAGATTCTTCTGAATCTAAATTTTACTGATCTTACTATATGT